ACCCCCCCGCCGCACCATGGCTCGCGCAGCTGAGCTCGCCCGCGAGGAGGGACGGGACATTGGTGAGGCTGAGCAAGGGGACGGCCGCTACGACGACACCGACGCCACGCTCTTGGACTCCGAGGACGCAGCGGCCATCATGTCAGGTGACGATGTGTCGCTTTGGAACGCGCAAGCAAACGCCTGGGACACTTTTGACAACGACGACGACGGCAGCCGTAGGCCGAATAAGAGTACCGCCTCCTTTAGCCTGTAAAACGAGATAGAACTAGAACCGCCGTTGATGCCGGAAGCAACTGTTCAGAATATGTGGCTTTTTGTTTTTCCTTGGGCCGGCCTTTTCACACAAAACTAGATGGTTGAGTAATGCATCAATCACTTCAGCAGGAAATAGGGTCTCTTGGCTCAGGCGAGTTCGCTGGGGCCCATTCGTCAAATTCTGCAACAATCACTGCAATATGCGTGTAATAGTGTCTTGTATTGTATCCACATTTTCCTATGGATTTATTACTATCATAGAGGGGCTCCATGGAGCAAAACCGTCTAGGTTCAGAATATAGACAATGTGATATCATGAGAATCAGAATGCGCCAGTAGCCCCCTTCGTTAATCCTAGCCTTTGAAGCAAATTTGTACATTATCATGCCTGCAACTCCCCAATCCGCCAAATGATTCCTAATGTTCATACTCATTTCCCTGCTCTGAAGCACAAAAAGTCAAAACGCCGACGCTTGCATAATGGGGGAAAAAAACGACAGGTGATATCAAGTCGCTAGCATAAAATCAAACGCAGCATCAAAGAATGAGATAACCTCACTGAGGTCCTCGATGGCGATTCATAAATTCAATAGCCTGTTCCATGGGATATCCAATGAAGACTGGCCCGGTGAAGACCATATGCGGTCCCCTACTACCCTCAGCATGCGTCGAGGCTGGGTTGATAAAGGTTGGTTGGGGTGGAGGCCCTGTGGTGGTAGGTGGTGCCTCTTTCAAGTTGGTGAATGGCGTGTCCCCAAGCCCAAGACCTTGCACAGGTTCACTGGGTTTTTCTTCGGGTTTTGGGGTACATGGCGGTGGTCCAGCAAAGCCAGCGGAAAACTTTGTATGATCAAACGGACAATTACCAGCTCCCGTCGTTGCAGCTGGTGGTACATGACCATGAACAGCGGTTGACATCCTGACAGGTGCTGGCGGCGGCGAAAGAGGATGTTCATCTTCGTGGCCTGAAAGCTCGTAGATGGGCACCGAGATACCCCATGGCCGGCTGGGGGACTCTCCAACGCGAACTTCCTTCAGTGGGCGATCAAAGTGGCTCTGACGGTCTTCATCTAGTGGGGGCAATTCTTCGTTGGCATCGGATTCGGCGGTACCGCTCACAGCCTGTGCCCAGGTTTCAACTCGGACGTTGGAATCGCCATCTGCCGCGCCTTGTTGTTGCAACTGCTCCTCCGACTCCGGGAGCATGGGTTGATGTAGCTGGCTGAGCCCCTCAATCATGCTCACAATGTTGCCATACTTGGAGTCAAGCTTTTTGATCTGTGTTTCGTTGCGTTGATATCGACGCAAGCACACCTCATGACTGCGCGGTAGCTCATGCTTGTGGGTCTCCACATAGTGTGCTATCTCTTCGGGAGAATGTTTGTCCATAAACCGGATTGGACACTTGGAGGAGGTGCCGTTTGGGGCAGGCTGCGATGTAGCCTCTTCGAACATGGCAGCACAAATGGGGTCGGCAGAGCTGTGAGGCGTGTGGTCAACGCTCGGTCTACTCTCGCCATCATTTGTGCCGCTGACCGACACCCGTTTGGAAAAAGGGCATTGCAGGTTGCCCTTTTTCCCTTCGACTGTGAAGTCCTGTTCCAATGCGGTGGACATGGAGGTCTCGTCCTGTGAAGTACGGGAGAGTGTCTCTCGGCTAGAGCCAGTGGTCTTGCTCGAAGAACTCAGAGAAACCAGTTTGCTGGCCATTCGGCGTCCGTCACGGATGATGACAGCAATCTGGTGTAGAGGCTGGGGTGTGGAGCGTCGCTGCGGAAGGGGAACAGGCGAAGTGTCGTCGACGGATGTGTGTGGTGGAAGCTGTAGTTTGGCCAGCGTCTCCGCTATTTCTGGCGTTCCAGCGGCATATTTGTCCGCCAGATATTGAAACTAGAGGAGTGGCATGTCAGTCTAATTACACTCATGCTGCAGGGCTGCGCGTGGTAGATGACAAAAAAGACTAATGACGTCGAGGAATTAAAAATCAGAGTAATAAATGGTGTCAGTCTCGGTAGTCAGCCTTTAAGCCAACTGCTCTTGATCTAGAGCTAATGATATCTCATCATATTGATTCAACGACGATTGCAAACCAGCGGTTCTGGCAATGGGGAAAGTGAGGGCAGCTTGTGTAATACATGTCGGGGGCATGTTGGAGCTCCAAAGCAAAGCTCCTGGTGGTGGTACGACCAAAGGCTGGGGGTTCGGAAGAACGAACAAATGCAACGGCATATGCCAGGCTTACCTGCTCATGGGCAAAGCGTAGCTTGTGCTCGAGGACGGTCTTTCGATCAGCCAGGATCTGAACCTCGTCAGCAAGAGCGTTGAAAGCGTCGGCCAGAGAGTGAGTAAGATGAAGTTGGTCCATGCCCACGGCGCGAGGGTTGGATGTGGAAGAGAAAAAAAGAAGAGCGAGAGAGGGAAGGGGACAAAGACGATCAAGCGATGCTTGCTAAGAAATGTGCCGGGCCAAGGGTCGATTGACGGATTGTGACTGGCCCAAGAGGGCTGGAGTGGGCGGTGGGCGGTGGGCAGTGGACCAGCTTGTGGAGATGGGACGTCGTTCAGTGGCTCCGAGGGCAGTTCAGAGCTGATTCGTCAGCCACTCTTCAGCTGTTTTAGGGAGCAGACAATCAACTGGAGTAACCAGACGCAAGGTCAGGAATGATGCCAGACTCCAGCTGCTCAGCATACGTCGTGATCAAAGGCAGCCGCTGCAAATTGGCACAAGCGACGTGATTTTGGAACCACGTACTCTCCATCAACATTACCTCCACTTTGCCCTCCGAATCACCATGATGTCCCGATAGACGAGAAGTGGAACGATGGCGAGTGTAATCGACTATCCATCTCCCCTTCGGCTCGGTGTCGGACATCGGAGTGGCTCACGGCCTACCCTAGACGGCTTTGCATTTCTTTCTCAAATTAATCTCTTGTCACATCAAAATAAGCCAATATTTGAGGGCTGAGGCACGCAATTTGTGTTTGGTTTAAAAATTACATGTGCATATGTGGCCTCGAATACTTATTGTAGTGTCTGCTAGGTAGGCACCATCACGACCGACCGTCACCGCACAGTATCATCATGCACAACGTGCATATTGTGCATGTACCACGGCGTACAATCACCAACAGCCACCACCATTCTAAAGCAAATCATCACACGCCGTCAACTGGCCATCCATCACCTTACCGTCTTCCCGGTAGAGGATGACCCAATCCTTTGCAGCGGCGTGCCTTAACCACCAAGGTAGTATGCCTACTATGTACCTAGGTACTCAGCACGCCACCAGGAACAGCGCCTAGATACCCATGGATGGAGTACCCATGCCATCAACAACACCGCACATCGACTGCCAATCTCTGTGTCACTCAAGTCCCAACTGAGTCTAGTCCATGGGTCACACCGGCATAGGCAACATGGGCAACACACCGTGATTCTTGCTATTATTCCACATATATATATATATCTCCCAAGACTTGAAGTATCGAGTGCTCCAGGATGGAACCGACATGTCGAGCCCGTGTCGAGTCCGCCCACGCATCATCGCCGCCTCCCTACGCCACAACTGACTGCAGGTGAACCCCATCTCCAGAAACAACCAACAGCCAGCACCAAGCAACATGGGACCAGCAATTCTAGACATCCCCCCAGCCAAGCTGCTCAGTAGCAAGGACCATCTTCTCCCCGGCCAGCTCAAAATCACAACCTTCTTCTTCCAAGTGCCCCTCGACTACGAGAACCCCTCAGCATCGTCCATCCAGCTCTACGCCAGGCGTGTGGTGAAGCATGAGCCGCCCATCTTCCCGCCCGACGAGGAAGATGCCCAGAAAAACACCAAGCCCTACATGATATACCTCGAGGGCGGCCCTGGCTTCGGCAATCGGGCACCAGCCGACCATCCCGTGACGAGGGCCGCGCTGCCTCGCGGATACCAGGTCCTGTACATCGACCATCGCGGAACCGGTCTCAGCACACCCGTGTCCACAGCCATGCTCGCCAAGGTTGGCGATGCCGATGCCCAGGCCAAGTACCTGCGTCTGATGCGCCAGGACAACACCGTGCGGGACTGCGAGGCTGTCCGGAAGCTCCTGACGGCAGGCTGGCCCGAACAAAAGACCCAGTGGTCTACCTTTGGCCAGTCCTACGGCGGCTTTATCACCCTGTCGTATCTGTCCATGCACCCGGAAGGCGTTCGGGAGTCCTTTTTGACCGGCGGTCTCGCCCCCGTCGGCAAGACAATCGACCAGGTCTACGACGCGACGTTCCGCAAGACGACGGAGCGGAACGAGCAGTACTTTGCCAAGTTCCCCGAAGACGCCCATGTCCTCCGCCACATCGCCACTTACATCGAGGGCCAAGGGGGCAGGATCCCCCTTCCGGCTGGCGGGTTCCTGACCGTCCAGCGCCTCCTGACAATCGGCATTGCGTTTGGCGGCCACGGCGGGTTCGACAGCGTCCACAGCACCCTCAGCACCCTCAAGGCATCCCTCGACCAGTTCGGTTTCTTTACGCGCGCTGCCCTAGCACCAATGGAGTCGTTCACCCCCTTCGACACCAACATCATCTACGCCATTCTCCACGAAGCCATCTACTGCGACGGGCCCCGGGGACCGTCCAACTGGGCAGCAAACCGCGTTGGCAGAGTCCTCGGCGGGCCTTACTCGTGGCTCAACCCGGGCTTCACTGTAGCGCAGTCCACCGGACCGCTCTACTTTAGCGGCGAGATGATTTTCCCCTTTCACTTTGATACCTACCCCGAGTTGATACCCCTTCGTGACGTCGCCGAGAAACTGGCAACTTACGCAGACTGGCCGGCTCTGTACGACGAGGCGCGTCTGCGCAACAACAGGGTTCCGTTTTACGCCGCCTCGTATGTCGAGGACATGTATGTTGAATACCACTTGGCCAAGGACACATCGGATATGGTCAAGGGGAGCAAGGTGTTCGAGACGAACGTCATGTACCATAATGCTGTGAGAGCCAAGGCTGATGAGGTGATGCATCAGCTGTTCAGCCTGAGGGACGACGTCTTGGATTAAGTCACTTGGAAGGAATCATGCAGCAAAGCAAACATGATTTTCAACTTTTGGAAGATTGTAGGCTTCAATGGTATTCTGGAAGCCCGTCAAGTGTACCTGACATTTATATGATATATCCACGTCTGACTGTGACACCCGTTGCCTGTGCTTTACAAGTCGTCTCTTGATGTTTGCTATTCCTCTTCCATCTCAGCCTGCATTTGTATACCTGCACCCAGTCAGCACGTCATCAACCATGTCATCAATTTTACCAGGACATGAAACTTACTCCAAAGTCTATTTGCCGCTGCCGAAATCACATTCGCCTTGGCAAGCATCTTCTCTTCCATCAATTCATCATCCTGGCTCTTAATCCGCAACTTATTCGGTTGTGCCTAGTCGTGTTGGCTGTCGTACGTCCTTCTTGTATCATGTTTTCAGACAACATACCTGCATAAGTATGGGGACCAAGTCTTTCGGATTGGCGTTGGCTAGAGCTGCCACACTCCGATATCCATTTTCAAAGAAAACTCTCCTAATTGTGGGAATTTAGCATACCTATCACACTGTAAATTTCCAGCTTCATAGACGTACGCCGTGCGACTCTTGATAAAGGGCACCTTGGAGAGTGCTAGGAGCTCGGATCTTGCGCCTGCCATTAAACGGTCTGAGAAGTGGTCTAGCGCTGCAGCCATTGGGCTGTATTGGCATTAGTAAGTTGAAAGGCTTGTGAGCTGGGACAAGGTGAGTACATACCCCCAGCCCATGTGTTCGCAGAACTTGACCATGCCTGCTGCGAATCCCTGACATGTCTGTGATAGTGTTTGCACTGAACCCCTGGGCATGTCGTATTTGCGAGCCACAGCATGAATAGGAACTTCATTGCAGAGATCACGTAGTTGCATGGCCAGGTAGAAACGGCGGTAGACACGGGCCATTTGCTTTTCTTCAGTCGTCGTCTCCTTCAGGATGGCGCCTTGAGCACTGTTGACAATCAGTGGCTTGTATGACTGTCGACGATGATAGACCTTGCTTACAGACGGAGAACAGAAGTGGGCTTGATTCCGAGGAATTGAAGTACTCGCATGCTGCTTTCATCCAGATACTCCATTTCATTACGGAATACTTGCCAATTGACAGTTGTGCCAAAGTCTTGAACCGGAGTGAACACATAGAGTATGTGCATCTCACCGTCCATGACAAATGCTCGTAGCGCTTTGACAAGCTCTTTGTGAACAAAGACACCGTCGTCTGGGTCAATAGCTGATGCAACGATAGCCTTTCCTAGTTGTGTGGGCGCGTAGCCTGTGGAGGAATCGGGCATGATGAGGCCCATACTTTGAAGCTCTTCGAGACTTAGTTCTATGCCTTTGTGGACAAAGTCTGGTGACTGCGACCATTGCAGCAGGGAATTGGAAAAGTAGTCAGATATAGATTCGCGGCTGGTAGCCAGACGAATGGAAATCACCTCCAATAATGCCCTTCTCTACAAGTTAGCAACATGGTCAGGTGCCATAGGTTAATAGTGACAGAATAACAGAATATCTTACCGCTGAATACGCCGATTCTCGGTACTAAGACAGCTTGAAACTTTTGGTATATCTGCATGCATGAGCTCTAGGACGTGCTCCAAGTCTGGTTGCCGACAACACAGATACGTTTCTCCGAGCTGCGTTTTCCCTTGTCTGCCAGCTCTACCTCGCATCTGTCTCAACATGGCGGGACCGATGTACTCCCTGCCCATTTTGACATTGTGCAAAATTACCCTACGAGCGGGTCTAATCATCATTAGTAGAGCAATCCCGCAGAGGAGATCGCCAGTTTTTGATTACTCACAGATTAATACCAGCAGCCAGGCTGCAAGTTGCTATGCATACCAGAATGGTCCCAGCATCATAAGCAGCGGCAATGAGATCTCTCTCCTCGCTAGTTAAACCGGCCTTTTCAGTTAGTTACGGCTTTCAGCGCAGCGCGTAAACAAACTTACATCTGGAAAAAGTTGATTAGCTAACATGGAAAAGTAAGTGACACGACGAACCAGACTTACGATGAAAGGCTACCCCATAAAGAACGGTTTCTTCAAGAACTGGGTCTGCTCCTGTACTCAAACTACGCAGATCCCCCAAAAGATCCAGCCGCTTTTTGAGGACGTCTGCTGCAAGCTCGTGCAACTGGGGCATGACCCGGCTGATCCAGCGAGCATCAGACTCGCACACTCCGCGGCTACCAGCAAAAACCAGCACTCCATAACCCATGCAGGCAGTTTCATGAGCGAGAGACACTACTGCATTTAGCACCGAGTCTGTGAATTCTTTGTGCACAGAGTTCTCTATTCGCCGGACAGGTGCTGTTTTCCCTGCCGACACATCCTGGCTGCCCAGTTGTGAGGGAGTATGCCCTAGTCCGTCATTGGGACCTGCTAGAAAGACCTTGCCGTCGTACACCAAATGTTCCTCTATTGGTACCGGCCTATACCGTGTCTCATAAGTGTGCCCGTGAAGCCACGAGGCGAGCAAATTTAAGTTCTGCCGGTGGTCAGTACCCAACGAACTTGACAGTAACACTATATCTGCTCACCGGAAGTGTTGCGCTCATTCCAATAAGTTGAACTTGCTGCCCGAGACAGAGCAGCTTGGCAGCAATCAGTTCGAGGATATACCCCCGATGGTCGTCATCAATTATGTGAAGTTCGTCCAAGACTACAGACCGAAGCTTCGATATTGAGCCATCAGCGATAGCGGTGTTGATCAGGGCATTTGCCTGGATGACAAGTCAGCGTTATGTCGTTACAACTTTCATCAAAACTTCCCACCTTTTCCAATGTGCAGACACCAATGTCAAAATCGTCCCAGGTTGCTCGTACTTTTCCACCTCCAAAAAAGCCAACTACTCGAATGGTACCGTAATCTGCTCGCCGACGCCAGGGCCCATTTTCGGCACCTTGGGACATCGATCGATCGAGAATCTTGACATGTTGAACCACCTTGCGCAGCCAGCCTACTTTTTCTTGTACAAGTGCAACGTATGGAAGAACAAGAAGCGCTTTAGTACCAGCTTCTTCAATTACTCGTTTCAGCATAAGCACTGGGGTAATAATCAGCTACGTGAAACAATTGAGACAACGCGAACAGTCAGGCTCACAGTCTGCCACTAAGGATTTACCACCTCCGGTTGGTGCACAATACACCAGGTTTCTCTCCCCAGTTAGTAGGCCTGGGCCTTTTAAGCAATTCTTTTGCCAGGGATAGATGTGTTTTATACCCAATGAAGAAAGGTTAGATACAATTTGACGCTGGAGGCCATATGTCTGATGGGCAAGGTCTAGCTCGGGGTCTTGAGAGGAAAGTGGTGTTGCGGAAATAAGCCTTCGCTGTGAGTACTCGCTCGTTGTATGATGACCCGCGGCTTGCGTTATCTTACTCGCGGATAGTCGTTTGGGAGCTGACGGAAGAGAAATGGCTTTCTGGAAATGAACAATGGAATGCGACGGGGAATTATTGGCAGTACTAGTAGCAAGTTGATGCGACGTAATAAAGCCATCGTTACTGGACCACGGTCTTTTTTGGCCAGCGACAGGTTGTGGAGCAAAGGAGCGTTGCTGCTGTTCACGGGCAGTTTGAAGACTGGTCTTGTGCAAAAGACCCTGCATGCTCTTCATGGTGAGTGTGAGTAGAAAATCGCGAGGAGGAAGACCGGGTGGGCATGGTCAGACGCGACAAGCAGTGGCAGCAAGGAGATATGATGCGCGAACTGCATGCATTCAGCAAAGCGATTTTGTTGCATCTTGAATGAGGATTTGGAACATCTTGGGAGGGATGAGAGATTGAATAAATCTGGTTGACGTACAAAAACTGCCTACCTACTTAAGTACTCAAAGTAGGAGGGGGCGATTGTTGAAGTGCCATCAGTCTTTTTTGGAAGCATGTCGCGGTGGTGGTTGGCAGGCGTGTTTAGTGTTCCTGATTTCCCACGCGCCGTCACGTGCAGAGTGTGACGCGAACAGAGGCGGCGGAAAGACACTGAGCCACTAAAACGCGGGGCGTTCCTGACACCTGCTGACACCTTATTACGTTGTTCTGGCGTAAAGAGGGTGCAAGGTACCTTGTACCTCCCACCACTCACCCTCCCCCCTCCCACCTCCCTCCAAATGTCGCCCACCTGCGCATCACGACACGCCCCTCCCTTCCGAGCGAGCGGCGTCTGGCGCACGCTGCAATGATTGATCCCGATTTACAGGGCTCTTCGAGGGCTGCCCCGCGACCCGCTATTGGTCGGCATGGCAAAACCCTGCGCCATTCCCTTTTGATATCGAGGCTGCCGGTGATTGGCGAGACCAAGATGCACCGCATCCATCCGTCATCCGTTTGCCGTCCTCTGAGTTTGTAGCTTTTCACCACGCTCGCGGGTTTTTTGGCCTGTTGGGCTGACTTGGCCTGCTTACCTGCTTGCACGCTTGCGCATGCATATTAACGCTTCCCTGCACGCCTATGCCGGGGATGCATGGTCTGGGGACGACTGCAGATGTGCCTGGTGCTCTGTACGTGTGCGCAACACTCGGTCCATACTACTTAAGTACTAACTAGTAGGTATGTGCCCCGGGGCCCGTATGCACAATATTGAAAGGGCTCCTTGGGGGAGCCTGTCGACACTACTGGCATCCATGTACATACATACCTCGCGTTGGCCCCAACCACACACCACACTCCGCAGTTGTTTCTGATCATGTCTGCAAGCGCACTCTCTCACCCAAAATAACTCCCTGGCATTCTACGCATGCTCATCAGTTGTGCCTGTCCCGCTGCACGCCACGATGGTGGCAGGTGGGTGTTGATGTGAGATTATACAGCGTGACCTGCAGTTTGTGACTAGGGCCAGACAACACAGCTGAGAACTTTCTGGTGTCCGGATGCTCGTTGCCTGGGACTTAATGCTGTACAACATGCTGCAACTACCGCATCCCCGAGTATCAGAGAAGGCGGCAGCATCGTACCTGTCTATGTATTGCAGGGTTGGTGATGAATGCCCCCAAAACCTTGGACAGGGAAACCTTGACAGGACGCACTACGGAGTAGAATACAATGTAATGGGTTGTGTCCCTGTATTTTTTCCCATGACGCCGCCGAGCCATCATTTCGGCGACTGGCCAGATATCGCGATGCGCAAGGAGAGCCGCCCATCTTGCACGGCCCGACGACGTCTCGTTCAGCAAGCTCTTCCCGCCAAGAACTCCCCAGAGACAAAATCCGGCCCAGATTGATGTTGTCGCCGAGGTTCAATCGAGGGCAAGGATTCAACAGGCCAGCTTTGAGGCGATGGCGGTGGTTGTTGGGCGGCGCCGTGCCTCGAAGCCATACCATGTCGAGCCATTCGTCGAGCCTTGCGCCACGACCCCCGGCAGTGCCATCCGGTTGGACTCGGGTGACCTTGGGGGTGAACCTTGGCTTGGCTTCTCCGTACTCGCAGTCAACTTCGTCTTCCATTTCTTTCTATGTTCGCACGACCACGCACGTAGTTTTGTTAGTGCATCTTTTGCAAACTTGTCTCGATGCCGCGATCCGTCTGCTGGCGAAATCCTACAGTCCAGATGTCGCGTATTCGCCCTCCCTCGGCCACCTCCCGTCGCTTCAGTGCTGGGGAAGAAGACGACGACGAAGCAGCCAAGGAAGCCTACCGGGTCGACTCCTCCTCGCCTCCCGGTCAATCCTGCCGACCCATGTGTCCTCCCCCATCCTGGCTTGGCCTGCCAACTGCATATATCCCGCCAGTTCCAGTTCTGCCGAGTTACTTTGACTCAATTTACCGTGTCTCAGCTGCTCGCCAGCGATCTCGCGATGACAACCACAGCACAGAGCTTGGTCCTCACACAAGCCAGCGCCAACAGCCAACCGTGCTTGTCACCATTGAAGCTCCCGCAAGCAAACAAAAACTGTCATAAGCCCTTGGAGCACACAAAGCGCCAGACTGGGCCTGTCACTCCGGGCCCTGCGGAGAATGCAAGATATCCGTACTGTGACATGACATCAACCGTCTCTTCGTAGTAAAGATGCCCAAGCTCGGAACTCCAAGCGGACAAAGCCATCCGTTGGGCCTTTTTTTCCCTTTTTACTTTTCGTCACGGCTGTCGCCATCCTCCTGGCCAAGAGGGGGGGAAAACGGCAGACAGCAGACAGCAGGGCTCGGCAAAACCATCGTCGATTTTCTAGACTACGCCATTCTTGGCCGGCTTTGGCATGTAAGACAAGGCCAGCTGTTCGGTTCAGATTTTGTCCAGTTGGCGTTGGTGGGCTCCGTCAAATAGCCCTTGGCATGCCTGTGCTTGCCTTTGAGCCCCAAATCTATGAACCGGATCGCGCCGCATCGTGTCGAAAACGCGCGATTGATGGTTCAATGGCCCGTCTTCAAGCTGCCTCAATGTTTTTGCAGACGCTACCAGAGAGCCCGTTTCTGCCTGCAAAAGTTGTGTGCTTTTTTGTGCATAGCCATGTGGCAGTAGAGACAATGAGATGGCTAGACTAACTGTCATGGGCAGTCGTGGCTGATTAGAGTTGGCTGGACTGTCCGAGGTACCTTGACAACATTTGAACCCGCTTGGTTGCTGCCTGCATGGGCTGAGCCTGGTTTGCCAGGGACTGCCATTTCGCCCATCTCGGGACGTATTGGCAGAGTTTTGATGTGTTTGATGTTTGATGCTACCAGTTGCAGCCTTAATGCACATCATTATATTGGGGTGGCAGCCCACGGCCACGGGAGAGGCAGTGAGGCAGCGGGGGTGTTGAAAGGAATTTTCTCATGCCATATCGAATAGAGAGAGAGAGAGAGAGAGAGTGTGTGTGTGATAAAAAGAGGGAGAGAGAGAGATAGAGAGAGGGAGGCCCGGACAAGCGAAGCCCGAAACGCCAACGCAGAATCACATTGTGTGGCGAGGCCTGACAGCCACGCCATCCCTCCCAACTCCATTGCTCAGTCCAAAGTCTCCAAGCACTGGCGTCCCAACTCTTCGCTGGCCTCGTTCGTGACTACAACTGTTGAAAAAACTGTGACACGCACATCTGTGTTCGCATTCATCCCACTTCGACCCATGACGGATTTGCTAGGTCGTCGGACTGCCAGTTGGGGTCTCTTGTCCCGCGCGAAGTCATCACGAAACTGGTTCCCTGAGATCTGGCCCTGAATCACTTGCCTTCATTCAGCCTGTGCCGACTCGGCAACACTATATCTGACCAGTGCAGCGTTTATTGCGCCGGGGAGTGTTAAATGTCCAAAGGGCGCCCAGTCGATCCTGCCGACCCCAAAGGGCCTAGGTAGTTCTTGTCATGATAATTGCTTGCCATATACTCCCCGTATTAGTTACAGACGTCGACGTCAGTGTGCAAGGACCCTGGCTTTCACGAGCGAGGTGACGCTTGACGGAGAGCAAATGCAGGGACTAATACCTCGCCGGCACATGTTCGTCCTGAAATTTCCTTTGCGGTGCGTCACCGAGTATGCCTCCCTTCGATGACACTTTGGCAAACACCGGAGGACGTTTCATTGACGACGCCAGCAACAACATGGGCGAACAAGGTGGGCGCTGATGAACGCCTCACAAAAACCTGGGTTGAGATCCGTCCACTCATCAATGGTGTGAGACTCGGCGGGCCTGCGTGGAGACCAAGGTCGCACTTGATGGCCGGGGTGTGGCATGTATATATAAAGTATACTGTATCGCTTCGCGTGGCCTCGCACCGCGGCTCGGCACTAGCAGATACTTTGCCCGTACCCAAGGCGCTAGTGCCGTCCCACCCATGCTCTGGTTCTCAAGTTGACTATGTCTACCAGCGTGGGACGTATCGAGCTAAACCAGGGCCGCCGCCTCGGGGGTGCCAGGACGTTTCTTTCTCTCTCCCGGCGCCTGGGAACCAGACCTCTCTTCTCTTTCAACCTTGTCTCCCACTCCATACGCCGCAGTTTCGACGTGATTCTGTCTCGTCGAGACTATTCATGTTCATCTCTTGTTTTTAGAAACCCCGGCGTTGCGTGTGACAAGTTTGCCGACTCCAAGATATCACTTATTCTTTACCTCGCCGCCCCGTCCAATTTCCCACATACATCATCTCTCATCATTCACATAGACCTGGCGAGGGCATGCCTTCACACGAAATTCGCCTCACCTTACAGCCGCGCAAATGATCTGTTGATGCCATGGCGCAACAAAATGTGAGTTTCTCACGTCTACTTGGACAGCTGTTAAAATGTCCTGGAATATTTTTTTCCCTTCTTTCTTTTCAATGTATCCTCGGCTGTGTTCTGTGCTCTTACATTGTGGTTGTGCCTCATACCTTGCTCATTTACCCATTTGTCCGTACACTGCTAACCACGTAATTGATTTGAGCAGGACTCCAAAGTCACAAATGCGGACGCGCAGTCAGCGTCCGATCCCGTGAATGCCTCATCAAACTCTGATCCGTCATCCAAGGACTCGGGTGCTGATATGGCCGCGGGCTACGGCACGCGCTCCCGCAACAGAGGGGGCAATGCCCGCATTAACTATGCTGAAGACAAGGACATCGATATGGATGTCTATGACTACTACGACAAGAAGGACCAAGATGTGCCCAAGAAGTCGTCGCGAAAATCAGACGTCGCTGCAAATGGCGACGGCGCGGCACGTGCAGTCGTTTCGCGACGAGCTGCAGCAGAAGAAGCCAGAGCAGTTGGTGCGTCAAATCAAAATGGCTCCAAGAGCTCAACACCGAGTGGTGTTGGCGTTGGCGTTGGCGGCGGTGCATCTCAGGGCGCGCCAACATCTGGCGCGGCGCAGGGTTCACGGAAACGAAAGGCAGCCGCCGCGAATGCAGTCTCAACGAGAAAAGCAGGGCAGATGGGACAGCTAGAGGGCACGCCGATGCCAGAGACCAACATGCTGACGTTTGAGAATTGCAACCATCGCCCGGATGCGAATGGGTGCATGGTGGCTGACGATGGGACAGTGTTGGAACCAAATGGTGAGTGCTTCAGGGACAGACACCGACACCGACACAGGCACAGACAGGCACAGATACAAAAACGCAGACGCAATGCAGACACAACAGAGCCGCGCTCTCGAGTGAGAGTGAGAGTGAGGTGACTTGGGATCCTCTCGACTTTCTCTGCTAGTTTGGTTGGGTTGTTGCGTACCGATCCTGCCAATTGCACCAAGCGGCGCGGCCGGGATCCACTCATTTCGGGAGGACAGGGCCAAGGAGGCAGAACAAGGCAATTTCACCAGCATGCCGGCTAACCAAGGAGTCGCAGATCATGTGTACCTCGTGTGCGAACCGCCGGGGGAACCTTATTACTTGGGACGCATAATGGAATTTCTACATGCGCATGCAAAGGGCGAGTCGTCGAAGCGCGTGGACTCGGTGCGCATTAACTGGTTCTATAGACCAAAGGACATTGGGCGCAAGAACACGGACACGCGGCTGCTCTTTGCGACTATGCATTCCGACATCAGCCCTTTGACGGCCCTGCGCGGGAAATGTCAGATCCGGCATCGCGTGGACATCGACAACCTGGAAACGTACCGCAGAACACCCGACTGCTTCTGGTACGAAAAGCTGTATGACCGATACATACAGAAGAACTACGACCTTATCCCCACCTCGACTATTGTCAACGTGCCCGACAAGGTCAAGAAGGTGCTAGATGAGCGCTGGAAGTTTGTCTTGGTGGAGCAAGGGCGTGGCAAGGAGCTGACTAGCGCCGTGAAGCTCTGCAAGAGATGCAGCGGCTACTGCGCAAGGTACGTACCTGTCGACGTCTCATGCATCGTGTACTCTCGAGCCTTGCTTGCATACCATAAAGAGAGAAAGCCCTCTCATTACAACACGCCGAATCTGGAGCCCCCAAGTCTGGAGTTGGACATGCATGCTCCACGTCTTTTGGCCACTCGTTTGCCCGTCGTCTATGCAATTGCAGCTGGCTTTGCATTGCTTTCTCTGTCTGGCCTTCTCCCCCTGCGCTGTTCTTTCCTCTCCTTCCATCCTATTTGTGTCCAGATACGTCTGGACCTGACTGGCTCAAACACCCCACCCACACCCACTTTCCGAACCTTGCATCACTTCCTTCCTAGGCTTGGCTGTCTGTCTCCCAACTCTCGCACCCATCCGTGCTGTGCTCCAGACAAACCACCACCCACCCCATTTGTGACGCCACTGGCAGCGACATGTGCCGCCGCCATGCCATGCCCTCCGAGCTGGTATGCTCGGTATGCTCGTCCATTGTCATGGCCCCAAACATCTGCCATATACTGCCTCTGCGCGTTTGTATTTTGTGCAAGCTGCCAGAATACCAATTCAAATATGGAGCATGCAGGATCGGATGTTGTTTGATTTTCATTCCTTTCTTTCTCACTCGCTGAAGCCTCTGCATGTCTGCTATACACTAACTCTGCTTCATCTCCAGCAATGACTCGGTGGATTGTGCAGTGTGTCAGAACACGTACCACATGAATTGTGTTAAACCACCCCTGCTCAAAAAGCCATCCCGAGGCTTCGCATGGTCGTGTGCAGCGTGCAGCCGAGCCCAGGAGCGCAAGCTCGAGGCTCGCAACACCCCTAATGGCACTGACGCTAATGGCGATATTGACGATGATGATGCTCTGGATGACGACGACGACGACATGCCCGGTATCATCACCGACCGCACCACCCCAGCGGATAACGAGGAGCATCACCACGCCACAGCGGAGCAGATTTATCAAGCAAGTCTTTGGCCATGGCGCTACCTAGGCATGCACTGCAAACCGGAGGATGCCCTTGATTACGATGACCGAATCCACCCTCGCGCAAGCACAAGAATTGGACCCCGACACCAAGCTAATGTGGGTGTTTGGCCTGGTCGCCCGGTTGAATATGTGAAGCCGCTGGAGACGAGAAAGGGCAGGGGAGCCCCTAAATTATCCAAAGAAGCTCAAATTGCTCAGGAAGCCGAGAAGGCGCTTCGGACCAAGCGACCCAAGTGGGTGCAGGATGAACCACCTGGTTATCAGGTTCGCGGAGAAGATTTGGACGAGAATGATCCAGCCGCCACGTCTACGCGCCTTTGGGCGCCGCCACCCTCCGACACCGTCAGTAATGATGATATTGTCGGCTACATGACCAAGGCCCAAGGCATGGCGAAGAGATTCAACATTCCAGAACGATCCACGAATCTTCAAGACGTTGCGCTGGAGACATTATTCCGCCACGATTATGATCCCGCTGCTGCTCTAAAGGCACTTTCAGACACCAAACGGGACTCATTCAAGGAGCCGACCCTGACCCCGGCTGAGATTAGGAAGTTTGAGGAGGGAGTAGCCAAGTATGGGTCAGAGTTGCACCTGGTGATGAAACATGTGAAAACAATGAGATCCGGTGCGGTAGTACGGTGGTACTATACCTGGAAAAAGACCGAGCGGGGCAGACAGGTCTGGGGGTCTTACTCTGGCCGTAAAGGCAAGAAATTGGCCAAGAAGGAAGAAACTGCTGCCTCAAAGGCGGCTGATGATGTGGCTGACGCTGATGACGATTCGGCTTTCGACACAGAAAAGGCCCTCGTTCAGAAACGCAGCTTCATCTGTCTGTTTTGCGAGTCGCAAGACTGCCGACAATGGCGTCGAGCACCCGCCAGTCAAGGTCCCCTTAGCGAAAATGGAGGCAGGGCAACCAGCAAGGACAAAGGCAACCAGTCCGTGGTGGCTCTGTGCCGACGTTGTGCTGAGCTGTGGCGCCGATATGCTGTTCGTTATGAGCCACCGGAGGAATTGATCAAGAAAGCTGGTCAATCCGGAGCCAAGATTTGGAAGAAGAAGCAGGAGGAGGAGCTTCTCAAAGAGATTCAGATTGCGGAGGATATGGGCTTGATGAGCCCTTATCGTAGCTCCACGCCAGCTGCTTCGGTCAACGGGTTGGAGCCGCCTAGAAAGAAACTAAAGGGGGCACCAGAAAGAGACACAGATGCTGCAGTCTCGGATGCTGGAAGCAATACTACCGTCTCACGAAAGAAGGACAAGACCGCGGAAACTACACCTGTTCCCGACTTGCCAAAACCACGAACTCTTCCCTGCGCTATTTGCGACCAGATGGAGCCTCTGGGCGACCAACATCTCTCCTGCAGAGAGTGTCGCTTGACGGTGCATCGTCACTGCTATGGTGTCATGGACCATCGGATTCAAGGCAAGTGGATTTGTGACATGTGCTCGAATGACAAGAGCCCACAAGTCTCAATTGTAAGTGCCGACTTCTCCTCGTCTGCTTACAGGTTGATCGGTACTGTGACTAACTAGTAATGTCCAGCAATACAAGTGCGTCTTGTGTCCAGTTGAATACACCGAACAAGACTTCATTGAGCAGCCCAAGCTCACACACCATAAGAAGAAGATGTCCGACAAGGATCGCGAGCGTGAGAGACTGGAGGTCCAGCAGGCGCGGAAGGCTGCTGAGTTCTATCGCAAGAGACAGGAAGATCTCAACAGGCCTGTTAACCCTCGAGAGCCACTCAAGCGCACGGCTGATAACAACTGGGTTCATGTTACCTGTGCAGTATGGACCCCTGAGGTCAAGTTTGGTAATGCCAAGGCGTTGGAACCGTCCGAGGGTATCCCGTCAATTCCCCGTGCTAGATATGATGAGGTTTGCCAGGTCTGCAACCAGCAAGGGGGTGCTTGTGTCTCTTGCCACCAATGTCGGATACCTTGTGAGTAGCGGGCAATAACGTATGCGAAAGATGCGAAAAGGCTAACGGGAATTGCAGACCACGTGGAGTGTGCTCGCCAGGCAGGCCACCTTCTTGCATTCGACATCACACCTGTGAAGAGTAGCCGTCGCGATCAGTTCAACATTGTGACGGTGAAGGGAGAGATCGGAATTATGTCGGCCGTACTATGGTGCCAAGATCATATTCCCACCAAGACGATAGCTCACAAGATGCATGATGTCGTCAACGAGTCGGGACTAAGCGCACTACAGCTTTACGTTCAAAATTACAAGCAGGCAGACCTGACGCTGACGGGCACTGTGCGCAAGGCTAATCTTATGATGGCTGCTGCCAAAATGTCCGGCCTTCCTCTTGTGCCGGGTGCTCGACGGACGTCGACTAGTACAACAACAACAGCAGCAGCTCCAAATGGCGCGTCGAGTCATTCGCGCAATAGACAACCGATTGACGCAGCAACGAATGCTCAACAGCCCGGAGAGAAGGTGTGCATTACCTGCGGCATTGATGTGACGCCTAGATGGTGGCCGATTGAGAAAACACAGGAACGACAACTCACAAATGGACACCATGGTGCGATTGGATTCGAGGCACAGAAGTTTGTCGAGCAACGCAAGTTTCAATGCCACAAGTGCAAGAAGAATCCCCGAACGCCCAAGTCATTTGCTGCTGCACGTCCATCGCCTCCACCAGTTGCAGAGCCTCCCCGACAGCATTTGGGCGGACCACACAGCCAAGCACCCGCACCACCATCGCTGCGAAGCCCTTCACGAGTACTCTCTGCGGATTATCGAGCAGCTCCTTTGCGTCCAGAAATCCATTCACTACTGCATCATCCATCATCCCATGCTCCGCCACCACCTGGCCCGCCAGCAGCTCATGGGCCACCACCCGGAGGACATCCCGCCACACACTCGCAGGCGCATTCGCTCGGCTCTCGGCCTGGGCCTGTATCTCATGGCTATCCCCAAGTACCACCTCCAAGAACAACGTACAACGATTGGGGGAGCCAACACGGCTCGCCGACTCGACATATTAATGGAGGACCACCACCACCACCACCACTTCACAATACTGGACCACCTCCAGCATCAGGTCTTACAGCGTTACGACCACCGTCTATGTCGGGGCCACCCCCAGTGGCCGCAGTCTCTGTACCACACCAGCGTCCACATGGCTCCCCGGTATATGGAAGCGCATTGCCCCCCTCACCGCGACGACTAAACGGAACGACCGCATCGTCTGCTTATGTGCCCCCATATGGGAGCGCTCCTGCTGCGGCGCATGCTTCGGGTCCACGGCATAGTGCTTCTCCAGGCTTAAGTAACGGCGTATTACCTCCTCGATCAGAAGGATTCTCACATGGACTACACCCACAACGGCCGTCCTATGCTGGCGGCACACACGGCAGTCCTCCACTGGCTCGAAGTGGTCTGGCTCCGCCAGGTGGACCACCGCCTGCTGGCCATGAATCAGCGCACTCGGCTAGCGGGCTTGGAAGTCGACCCCCGGAAAATAGACCGGCCAGCGGGGCAAGCGCAAGCCCATCGCTACGGAATTTGCTTTCGTGAAGCTGTTGAGAAGTATCTTAGAACGGAATCAAGGAAGCAAGGAGACATGGCCATGTGGTCATGTATTGTCTTTTCGCAATGTTTGTGTTAGTGTTTTGTAGAGCAAAGCGACAGGGAAAAACAAAATGGGAATCTGGAAGACCCAGAAGGCGTTATTTTGCTTAGTTTCTCTTTCTCCTTTATTCTTTTCGTTTATTATGGGGATTGGGAACCGTGAGCTCTCAAAGGAGTTACTCGTTGTATCTGATTCAATTTGGGAGTCACATGAGTGCTTTTGGATTCAAGTTGGATGAGTAGAAGTAGAGACGAGGGGAGGATGCTACTACCTGTATATTATTATATCGAACGAGGTTGGAGGCCTTGGATCTTGGCCCCTGAGTACTGTTACGTACTTGCGGATATAGACTCGTCTGCCCCGCCGGGCGACGGAAGGGGAGCCGCGGAATTAAGTAACGGAGATACATTCTGGGATCTCAATTTGCCTATTATTACAAGCATCCATGTGAGGAATGATATGGACAGTCACTGGACAGTCACTGGAGAGGTGGTGTTCACTCCCCCCCCCGTCCAGGGTTAGGGTCACGCCGAGCCCACCAATCAACCGAGGCCCTCCCGTGGCCCAATGAAGTTTGATGTCAGATCCTCGTCAGCTCTGGTCTCCACTGACAAGGTACAACGTCAGTCCAACAGCTTGCATCCCCCGTCTGAGGGTGAGCTGTCGCAACACGAAACACACGAAACACACGGCACACACACTGCTCCTCGGAAATCGCATGGAATTGTCGATGCTGTAATCATTGCCTTCTAATTTGCATCTCGCGTCTCGGCGGCTTCGGTTTGCATTGCAATTCCATCTCGAGCTTGGCGAAAAGCTCTCCCGCTCGACACAGCCACCCTTCTGCAATCCCATCGCCTCCCGACGGGAAAGACGGCCACGTCAGTCACAGCACATTCGCAGCTTCTCGAGGGGCGAAGACTACGGCCTCTTGCCATGGCACAATTCGTTCTAGATTTGGTCTATTCCCTAGGGAACTGTCTGAATTGTTTCCCCGGTTCGCCGACACTGAAGATTAACAGCCGGAGCTTCAAGATCCTCCGTCTTCTTGGCGAGGTACCTACCATCCCCAATCTGCAACTCACGATACCATGAAGAAGAACAAAAAAAGAGGGAGTTGCTAATGTTGAATTCTCCCCTTCCCTTTCCGCCAGGGCGGCTTCTCATACGTGTACCTCGTTGAAGATGCAGCCACGCACGAGCTCTTCGCGCTCAAGAAGATCCGATGTCCGTTTGGCGCCGAGTCTGTGCAACAGGCGATGCGCGAAGTCGACGCCTACCGACTCTTTGCACACATCCCTACCATCATATCGGCCGTCGACCACGCCGTGGCTACGGAACGGGGCGCCGACGAGGCCACCAAGACGGTCTACGTGCTGCTGCCGTACTACCGTCGCGGCAATCTCCAGGACATGATCAACGCGAACCTCGTCAACAGGGGCAGCTTCCCCGAGCGCCATCTCATGACCCTCTTCCTGGGCGTGTGCAAGGCCCTCCGCTCCATGCACGAGTACCAGGCGCCCCCTGCGGAGCGCATGGAGATGGGCAACGAGGAGGACGTTCCCGGCGCGAACAGCCGCAGCGGCACGGGCAGCAAGATGGGCACGCGGGGCAAGCGCACCGAGGCAGACGAGGAGGAGGACCAGGAGCGGCCGCTCATGGAGTCGGAGAACCGCGTCTCGGCGGCGGGCGGCCGGGTCCGGGCCTCTTCCCCTGCGGAGCGCATGGAGATGGGCAACGAGGAGGACGTTCCCGGCGCGAACAGCCGCAGCGGCACGGGCAGCAAGATGGGCACGCGGGGCAAGCGCACCGAGGCAGACGAGGAGGAGGACCAGGAGCGGCCGCTCATGGAGTCGGAGAACCGCGTCTCGGCGGCGGGCGGCAGGATCCGGTCCTATGCCCACCGCGACATCAAGCCCGGCAACATCATGATTGACGACTCGGGCTCGACCCCGATCCTCATGGACCTCGGGTCCGTGGCCCCGTCACCCATCCCCGTGACGTCGCAGTCGGTCGCGCTCCAGATCCAGGACACGGCCGCCGAGCACTCCACCATGCCCTACCGCGCGCCGGAGCTCTTCGACGTGCACACGGGGTCCGTCATCGACACCAAGACGGACATATGGTCGCTGGGCTGCACCCTCTACGCCTGCCTGGTCGGCAAGTCCCCCTTTGAGATGCGCTCCGACGAGACGGGCGGCACGCTGAGCCTCTGCGTCCTCGGCGGAGACTGGCGCTTCCCCGACGAGACACCCGGCGGTGCCAAGCGCGTCAACACCATCAGCCAGGCCAAAGCCCGCGCCGCATCGGGCGACCACTCCGCAGCGAGCGCCTCGGAGGCCCCGAATCCCACCATCAGCGAGCCCATTCGGAACATTGTCAGGCAGTGCTTGAAGGTGGAACCTGCCGAGAGGCCGGATATAAATGAACTGATTTCCATGGTGGAGGGTGTCATTGAAGATCTTCCCGATGAGGGGGGCCTGTAAATCACCCTCGTGATCGATCGACGACGAATGTTGGGGGGTTTTCGGGGCAATATTGTTTATTTGCACTGCTGTGAGTGACAGCTGGCAATGCCATGGTAGACGATGTCAGATGGACCAGACCTTTGTGGATTTCCACATCACATGGTATTCTTTCGGGCATAGGCGTTACGGATTAATAAATGTAGATAATTAGCAGAACTGGAGTCATAGACTCCCTGAACAAATGACTTTTCTGTATGTAGCATACAAGAGCAAATCTACACCAATTGCATGCCCAGGAGCGGGCAAGAGTTTTGTAGGTGTAAATACTGAATTTGCATTGCATAAACGTTCCGCAATCAAGATACCTACCGTCGTCATCACTTTCATCTCTATATTTGCTTCATACGTCCAATGTAACCTTCTTATCGCATTCCTAGCAAAACTTTGATGCTGGCATCGGGACATATGCACTCAAGCTCATTAGTGTCCTAAAGCTGAAGCTTGAACGTTGCCACCTCAAACGGTCTCAGCTTGATATCAAATTTGCCATTCCTTAGTTCCACTTCTTCCAACTCCTCCTCGAGAATGTTTGCCTTGCTCACTCGCTTGATATTGTACGACGTTTCGATGGTGCCTCTGCTATGGCCGCCTAGAGATTCGTACACACGCAAGATGATGCTTTGTCCCTTGTTCACACGCAAGCCCTCGCGAAGGCTGACGTCCTCATCGTCGTGACCTCGCTTGATGGTGTCGAGAATCAATGACGAGGACTCATCCCTGTTAATCAGTTTGATTGGAGCCTCCGACAGGGACTGGATAGCTGTTTCGGGGGCGGACAGCAGCTTCAGTGGGTTATTGAAAACATAAGCCGCCTTGACAGTAACAGAAGACAAGGCGCCCCTATGAGGGAAAATAGCCCAACGGATGCTGTGCTGCCCCATATCAGCGTGCTCGTCAGGGGCCTTTGGGGCACGAAGAAGTGACAGACGCATGGTCTTGCCTGCAGTAGCAAAACCGTACTTGCTGTCGTTGAGAATAGAAACACCATAGTTGTGCTCGGAAAGATCAGCAAACTTGTGGCAGCATACTTCAAACTTGGCCATGTCCCAGCTGGTGTTGTAGTGTGTGGGTCGCTTGGTGATGCTGTATGCAGTCTCGTACGAAGCCTCGGTATTAACTACATTGACAGGGAACTCAACCTTTAGAAACTTGGAGTTTTCATGCCAATCAACTTCGGCGGAGCAATCAACTTGAGAATGCTGTCCATTCAAAGCCGCCCCAAGAGAGATGTAGGATTTCATGGAGCTCTGGTCGCTAATTTTGATGTCGGTAACCAGAGTAACACGGTGCGGCTTGTTCTCGTGGATCTTCGTCTTGCCATAGTGAAGCTCTCTGCGGGTATTGAGATGATAAATCTCAACATCCCAGGCTTCCCAGTATAGAGGAATGTCGTCAAAGATAACAAATTTGTTTGCCTGACAACCTTGCTCGATGACTTCGCGATCATTGACAAGATCGTACAACGATGTGATACAGCCCTTTTCAACCACTACACGGAGTTGTTCGTTCTGTAAGACATAGATCTCTCCGTTCGAGGTCAAAGTGACTGCGGGTTTGTTCTCTTGAATCTTAAAGCGGCGGACCGGGAGCAATTGAGCATCTCCACAAGCAACACCAACTTCAGTCTCAGATAGCTGGACAATTTCCTTACGATGCCAAGGCAGTGTGTTGACAACAACAGACTCGTGGACAGAGTTTGACAAGGTAGAAGATACTCCAAAGGAGTTATATAGATCCCCAAGCAGCTTTTTACCGGTCTTGAACACTTCAGCGTAGAACTGTGCCTTCTGTTAGTATCTTGCGTAGTACAAGAGTAGCCGGCTGACTGTAACCCTTACCTTGTCGGATTCATCATAACACATTTCAATGGAGCTGCCAGGAAGACAGTCGTGGAACTGGCAAAGCAAAACATTCTCCCACATGCTGTCAATTTCCCTTGTTGGATACTTGTAGGACGAGTCTTTGATAGAAGCGATTGTTGCTAGTTGCTCGACATCTCTTAAAAGAACTTCGGCCTTGCGGTTGAACATCTTGTTGTTGGCTTGTGTGGTATATGTTCCCCTGTGAAGCTCAAAATAGAGTTCACCATACCACGTAGGAAAATCCTTGGCTTTTGGTGCCAGACGTTCAAAGAAGTCGTCAACGCTCAGACCAAGCTTGAGCTTGGGAATGCCCCCAATGGTGTTGCTGATGCCTGCGCATCGACGCAACTTCTCCAGGTGCTGCCATGTTGGGCCACCGCCCCCGTCGCCTTTACCAAACACCAGCAGCGAGGAACTGTCGACCCTCATCGTCTTGTGTCTGCTGATACTGCGACGCAGGTCACCAAAGTCGGCCTCTGCTGTGTATGTTTCGGATGGTGGCATGTGACACATGACTTGGCTGCCATCTGGGCTCACCCACATAAAGGTGGTATGTGGGAAGGTATTAATATTGTTCCAGCTCAGTTTCTGGGTCAGGAAACGGTCCATGCCAGCCAGGCGACAGAGCTGGGGTATTTGGCTGGAGTATCCAAAAGTGTCTGGCAGCCAGAAAGTGCGGGAGCGAGAGCCAAACTCAGCCTCGAAGAATCGCTGACCATATAGAAATTGTCGAACAAGGGACTCTCCACTGGGTAAGTTTGTGTCGTGTTCAACCCAGCTGCCACCGATGGGATGGAACTGTCCCTCATTGACCTTGCGCTTGACACGCTCGAATGCACTGGGATAGAGTTGCTTTAACCACTTGAACTGTTGCGCTGAGGAGCAAGCAAAGCGCGCCTCAGGGTATCGGTCCATCAAATCGCATTGGCTGGACCAAGACCTGACGATTTTGCGTTTTGTTTCCGCAAAGGGCCATAGCCAGCAAGTATCAATGTGACAATGACCAATACCAAATACGACAGGCTCCTTGCCGTGTTCGTAGACTTTGTGAGAGTCAACGTCTGGTCCAATGATCTCTTTGGCAATTTCTCTGCACTTCAAGATGGATTCTTGATTGTTGACCTGGAACGTGTCAATGATCCTCATGGCAACGGCAAGGGCATGATTCTGTTCAGCAGAGTCTTCTGGAAGCTCTCGTGCAGCGTCTCCAAGCTCCCACACGTCAAAGTACAGCTTGCGAGCTTCCACATTGACGGCAGTGATGTTGGCCTTGCTCAAACCATAGTATCTGTTCTGATCCGGAGGAGCAATGCTGGTCTTCCCGTTGGGAGCATTTCCAAACATGCCATTGCAAGCCATTTCGATGTAAATGACATGTTCCTTGCCATCTCTGAAGGAGTCGGGAACATTCCATTCGATACGCTCACCCCCGCCCGTCAGGCCCTGGAGGGGGATGCCACACTCAGTCCAAACGAGACCCTCATTATTGGCATCCCATTCCAGAACAAGAAGTTCTTGGTCGAGGATCTCCTCTGGCACCGTCAGGTGAACCCGGAACCAGTGGGTGGTCCATGACGGACCAAAAGAGGCACCAATGTGAGTTTCCTTGAATTCGTGTGACGTTGCCTCTTTGAACGTAGGTCGATCCTGACCAGGGGCACTCCAAACATAGATCTTTACGTGAGGCTTATCGGAGAACCTTGCGTTGTATAGGTTGCTAATTCAATTAAAGTTTGTAAGCCAGAGCGCTACGATTCTTCTTTTGTCTATGTAGCGATGGAAACGCAATCACTTACGCCAACAGGTTCACCTTGTCATACTGGCCAGACTTGTAAAAGGGTTCGATTCGGTCCTTCAGAATGCTAGTCTTGGGAACGCCCACTGGTCTGCGAACGAGCACGGGGTAGGAGACCTTGCTCCTCGTATCACCACCGCCGCCCATGTTATGAGCTTCGATACTGACTCCTGGGGCTGGTGGAGCTGAGCGATTGGAAAGCCGTCGTAGCTTTCCAGTCAGAGGATGAGGCTGTGCGTAATCCAGCGAAGGAATATGGCCAGGGAAGTTGGCCTCCGGAGAAAAGATAGGATGGGCGAGACACTCGTAGGAACTGCAATATTTAAATCAGCAGCTGACTAGAGCAAGTGACCCAGAGCAGTTCAGCCGACGCAGGATGGATAGGTAGCAGGACGTTGCCGTGGTATGGCATGCGACTCAAAAAAGCAGGATTCCGTACAGAGAGCCCGATAGCAAAAGAGTAAAAGCTTATTGAGAGGCTTGACGATGTTGGATGCAAGTCGAAGGCGGATGACGGTGGCTGTAACTCGGGAGGGGGCATCGATGCTGCAAGTGGTGGATGGGGAAGCTCAAGAGAGCTTCAACTTGGGGGGGGGGGGGGGTATTTGGGCATGG